CGTAGCGGAAACTTCACCGCAGCTCGTATACCGGATGTGGTTGCATTTTGAACGGCCGTAATAATAACCATCTTCTTTCTCATCAAAACGGCCAAAGCCATTCATGCGAATACCTTTCTCTCGAAATTCTGAATAGATCAAACGAATACTCTTTACAAAGGCTTATTTGCGTAATTATATGTATGTTACGTTAAATATTGCGAACGGAAGATGCAAATTACTAAAATAAATTATCAATTACTTCTGTGACAGTCACTGTCCAATAATTTACTGCCAATTCATCGCAATTAATTATGCTTTAAATATTATTAAATATAAATTTATCATTCATTTATTTATCATCAGTTTAATAATTAGCAATTACATTCGTATTTTATAAATAATCAGAATTAAGATAGATTATACGCGCATGTTAATTGCGTTAATACGCACTGAAATGATGCGTTGCATTTTCGCGAAAAAGAAATCGAGCCGAAATTTGTTAAGGAATAAATTATTACTGACTGTGCGGTTTTCACTTGGACACCTTGTACATGCGCAACTGACCAATATAACTGTGGCAGCGAAGGGTGGCAAGTGCATGAAACGCGCGTGTAATAAGTAAACAAGAGGAGCTGCGAATATGACGGCAGAGCTAATTAAGTTTCGCTCTTTCCTGTGCTATTGCACCGCTCGACCCTTGTTCCTCTATTTCCTGCCCTATTCCCAGCCTCACCCTACTGTCCGTCAAACGCACCTCTGCATCCCTCGGCACTCCTGTATCGCGCAACAAGTGAGACACGCACTCTCGCTTCCTCTTTCAACTTCTACTTTTGAATTTTCTTTGTTTTTTTTTTTATTTTACTCTCCATATTACCCTTTGCTGCTCCTTCGCCATGCACACGGTTCTGTTTTATCATTTTTGGGCAAAAATCCACGTCCCATATGAAAGCAAGGGTAGAAATGCAAGACATAAAGTAAATAGCACGTTCCTATTACAAAATTGTATACGTACATATTCTTCTTTAGAGCGTCGCGTTTTATAATAGATGTTAAGACAAAGATTTTATTTCAAGATCAAATTTTGTATCAAAGCTCTTAATCTTATATAATATATTGCTATAAATCCAATTCAGTATTAAAATTAAACTCAAATTTGTAATTATATACAGGTGAAGGACCCACCGGAGGCGGCAAAAGTTTGCGGCTCTGATGATGTAACGTACGATAACGAATGCTCATTGAAAAGGGCGTCATGCATGAACCAAGTCCTCGTCAACATTAGCTACGTGGGTGCTTGCGGTAAGCAGCATATATTGTATATATCTTGCAAATGAGAGCTAATGCGATAAGTCTAGAAACTGCGACCAAGTAAAACGATTTTCTTTCTATCCTTCTTTTTCCCCACTGCAGTTGAGATTTACACAAAAGTACTATGTATAATATTATAAATATAATATAATAAATACTATAAATAAAAATAAGTATTTACAAAATATTATATTACATTGTATAAATATATATTACATTAATTTTAATCAAAATTTTTTACAAGAGTAAAACACACTTCTAATTTATTGAAGTATGTTTTATAATACTTCACACATTTTCAAACAGATTCTTTCAACATCTTAAAAGCTAGACTTTACACTAAGTAATACATACAATACGCAGGTGTATATATTCTTTTCTGAAAATTATAGTATTCCACTAAATTACTTGTTTTAGATAGTTAGGATTTGTTATACCTGTAGTAATAATCCGTCTGTATTTACGAACTAACTAAAAGAGAAAACTGAATGTTTTCCAGAATTGTGCGATCGCGACAGGGTGACATGCGACCACGGGGCGCATTGTGTGGCGGGTGTATGCGTGTGTCCGAAGGTCTGTCCGGAAAGCAGCGGCGAGCTTGTTTGCGGTAGCGACCTTAAAACTTACCGGTCCGAGTGCGAACTGCAGCAGGCGGCCTGCGGCAGGGACCCCAAGTTGTCGGCGTTGCACGTCATATTTTATGGAGACTGTTCCGAGAGATTGGCCGCAGCAGCATTGAGTACGTTACCGAAACTATATCTACCTCTTATATCGCACGAAATCCATTTGCAGAGATCCCTCCACAGTTAATTCATAATTAACGCAAACGTGGAGTGAAACGCACCGAGTAAAATTTTAATAGCCAAAATACAGTCGCGTAAAACTTGCGCGATCAAGCGTATATTTTACTTACACTTTAACTTTAAAATCAACCGAAAGCACATATTATGTTTAACACTTAGAGATACTTCACTCGCTGTGTCTCTCAGGCAATGAAAAGCCATTGCGGTTTGACAACGAGTTTGGACGTCTAACGTAACGCGATCCGCAAGCCCTTTGAACACAACGCTCGAGGCGTGAGACGCTTATGAAGTTTCGGAGACATTTAGATATCTCTTGCTTCTCCTCTGTAATCTTTAGACGTCGCTATTCCATTATATAAGGCGACTGGAAACTCGCTCGAGTAGAGATCCTCCAATAAGAATCTGGACACGAGTCGCAGTTTTGTATGCAAAGTAGTAGCTTTAACAAAAATCTGCAAGAAAGAAAGATATACATTTACTATATTTTTCTCTTTATCATTATGTACTATCTTTTTCTTCTCTCTCTCTCTCTCTCTCTCTCTCTCTCTCTCTCTCAAAAATTATTAAAATCTGATGGATTAATCGAAAATGGCTTTCTCATGTCCAGACTCTTACTAGAGGATCTTTAACAGTGAGACGCTTAAAACGCCAGGATCCTCTAACGCTGATCCAGGATAACCGCATGTCATTAACGATTTGCCTGCGTAATGCTCTAACGATAAACCGCTCTAACAGCCGCTTTCTAACCGCTTCTAACAGCGACCAAGTCGACGCCCGCGGTGACTCGCGTGGTCACCACCATCGCCGACGTGACTAGCACGCAGGAACGGGAGGCATGCAAGGACATACACTGCGACTTCGAGGCGACTTGCGAGCTCGGCCCGGACAAGTTTCCCAGATGTAGCTGCAGATTCGATTGCGCCTCCATTTCACCGGAGAATATGCGGCCCGTCTGCGGCAGCGACCTCAGAATTTACTCATCCCTCTGCGCCATGAAAATGGAGGCTTGCCAGAGGCAACAGGAACTCAGATTGCGACCTCTCGATCTCTGCCAAGGTTCGAAACTCTCAAGAAGATCAGTTAATTGAGACAACAGACGGACGAAGCTATATTTTAACAATTAACTCCCTACGCTTTTCTTGCGCTTTTTATGATATTAACGAATTTTAACGTGAATTAACTCTCCGCCAGCCAAATTGGACTTCGAAGTCATAGTCGAGATTTTGATTCTGTAGATAAATTTAAATCTGTAAAAAATAAATAAAATACTTCTATGATAGTAAAAACTCGTTGTTAAAGCTTTCACAAGTATAATTTTTCAAATATTTATACAATCCAGAACAATATAAAAATTTGTATTAAGTTCAGAAAGGTGCAAAATTCCACAAGGCCGATGAAGGGTTAATCAATATAGAAATCGCTTTAACTTTGTAAATTAATTGAACAACAATACTAAAAATCTTTCTGCTCATATAACGATGTTCGCGCAGGCATGGAAGTCAAACCTTGCAACGGCGATCCTCCGTTAGTGGACTCCGAAGGTAAAGAGTACGACTGTGGTAGTGGACCAGAACGCAAAGACTGCCCTAGCAATAGCTATTGCCATCAAACGACGCGATTCGCTCGTTGTTGCAAGAAAGGTTAGCGAGAAAATTTTCAATTCGATATCTGCCTAATGTCTAATGTATTTAAATCAGCGCTTTTCGACCTTTTAATTTGCAGCATATTAAATAGCGAACCAAATTTGTCGAGGTATCATTAAGTGCATACACTCAGCATAAGTTTTTACCACTAATATGACATATTCAGAAATAAACAGTAAAGTTCTAAAGTTTTAGTATTTTAAAAGTTTTTTTTTTTAATTTATTGTAATGGTAATGTCATTTTTGTTAAAATGAAAGTAAACACGATATAATTTAAGTAATTTTCACAATTTTTAGTAAACTATTTTTTTATTTCATGCTTTACTCACTTTCTTATTTAATTCTAAATTTTTCGCTCTTTTTATCTTTTCCAAAATTTTACGCCACATTTGAAGATTCTTCGCGATCAATTAATACCAATTGAAAAACCTTCGTCTAGATAAATATCCATTTTATATATACATACATCTGAATATATAATATTATCGTTTATAAAAATTATCTTTAATATATACAGTTTAATATCTCCGAGAATATCACAAAAGCGTTCTTCACGAAATATGATTTCCTCAACCGCAAACAAGTCACGCTGCAGGATCAACATGTCCTATAAGTTTCCGCGACGCTCACAGTTGCGTGTTTTTCTAGTTCACGGTATCCAGATGGTAAAATGCGCGGACTCATGGCACGGCTGTTGTCCGGACGGGAAAACCGCCGCACTCGGCCCGGACGGTGCGGGTTGCCCGAGTTTATGTGGTTGCAACCGACTCGGCAGCGTGTCCGACACCTGCAACCCAGAAACCGGTCAATGCGAGTGTAAGCCTGGTGTGGGTGGTCTCAAGTGCGATAGATGTATGCCGGGTTACTGGGGACTGCCGAAGATAAGCGAGGGTTATCAAGGATGCATACGTAAGATTGGAATCAGTATATACTCCACGATTCTCCATTCGCCATAATCATTTGATGCAGGCATACATGATATGATACAGATACACAGAGAATGTGTCATCACAAGCATTTGCGTAAAATATGTTCGCTGGAATATATTCTTCTCGCATTTAACAAAGCATGAAAAACTTTCCAGACTGTACTATAATTCCAGATTATAATTCTTTTTTTTCCATCATCAGAGTGTAATTAAAACTGTAGTCAAAAATGAAAAATACTTTTTTTTGTACTTTAGAGGGGAAGTGTCATGCTAGATTCACGAAGTTAACACGCCATATTTTTAATTTTTAATTTGTAATTAAGGATATGTGTAATTAGTCGACTCTGATACATTTATTCCTTGTACGCATTGCGGAATCATTACGTGTCTGTGAAAAATTCATGCAAGTAAACTTTTTCTTTTTAAACATAGCATGCGGCTGCTCGCTATTCGGTTCCGTAAGAGAGGACTGCGAACAGATGACAGGACGTTGCGTTTGTAAGCCTGACATCCAGGGACAAAAATGCACAATCTGCAACGATCACAACAAGATACTCACGACTACCGGCTGTTACTCAGGTATCACACCTAATAATAATCGTTTCAATTTTTCTAAAAGCGCCGGTTAGTATAACTAAGATTTAATAACCTTCAATACCCTTTATAAAATAAAAATATAAAGTCAGAAGAATATTTATTCTTCTAACTTGTTCTGACATTTAAACTCAAAAACGTAATTTTAAACTCGAGTCCCCTAACTGGTCTCGTGTCAAACTCTATTTATTCCTCGACCACTCAACGCTAAGATAACGTTCTAAGATCTGTGAGGTAGACCTGACGGTATCCCGGGGTCAACGCGGTCTCGCAACGGCATAATTTTATTAACGCCGCGCTATAATCCGCTTTACTCCGCAGCGGACATGATACCGCCCGTACCAACGAGCTGCAACGAGCTGGAGTGCTATTCGGGCGGCCACTGCACGGAGATCGGCGGCGTACATTGCGTATGTCCGTCTGCCTGCCCGGCGGATGTACCGTCCGTGCCGGTATGCGGTAGTGACGGGCAGACCTACGACAACGAGTGCGAGCTGCGGCTCTACGCGTGCGGCCACCAGGCCGACGTGGTCACGCAGGCCTTTGGCCATTGCAGAGGTGGGTTCACTGAACGTACTCCGCCCAACAGGTCGCTTTTCATCCTGCGCTACTGAGAGAAAAACACACACACACACACACACACACACACACACACACACACACAGCCCGAACAAATACGTCCGAAAATTATGAGAATCACGGGCAGCTTCTAACAAAATCGTATACCCCTTAGAAAGAAAACTACAAATAATGCTGTTGCCAGTCAGCTCGTAGTTAGATAGATGAAACCGATGCTCGTAACTCGTAGTCGAGAAGAGTATGCCTAATTGTGTAGCGATGTTAACAGAGAAAAACGCGTCGGTAACAGGATATTCCAGAACTTTTGAAACGATCCGATGAACGTACAAGAAGATACGAATAGCCTGTTGAACGTAAAACTAGTCTCCGAACATACGAAACTGCGGCATATTGTTGTAAGTTGAGTTGCTCCAACAATCTGAATTAATCTGTGATTCGGTGACTCATTCTGTAAATTAATCAGGAGAATTTAGATAACCGCGTAGCTAGGACCAACAGATGCAATCATCGCTCAGGAGTTATTAGGAAATTTGTACAATAGGGAAGAATTTAAGTATACATGGAAATAATTGTTACCGTCAAGAACAGAGATCCTTCGAGGACGACCTGATAGAACCGTAGCCTAATAAAGCAGTCGGACGGCCGCGCACAACTCTGTGACATCGGCTTATGACAATTTAGATTGTTCAAATAGAGGACGTTGTTAATTGCAAGAGAGATCGAGGGCAAGGCAAAGACGAGACGGCGGCGTTAGGAGATTCTCTCTTCACGGAGAAGTCTGATTAAAGAAATGCCCAGCTTACCCTAGAAGAACTAACTAGTAGTCCACTTTGTATATCTAAACGTTATAATAAACTCATCAAGTTTCTACTAACATGTATATATATGTTTGTAACCCCCGCACCCGCAACCGCACCCGGAATCACCGCAGTTACTTTGCTTGCTTTCTTAATCAACACATTCTCGTTTTCGTGAATAACATTTGTGATTAATACGAATCGCGACGAATATAATAGTCAGATTGAAAGTAGCTCGAGAAAGGAAGCAAAGTAAGCAAATGGACTTGCGTTCAAGTTGATACAAACTCGCAAGATAATTTACTTGACGAAAGTATCATAATCGAAGCGATCACATAATTACTGCGATCGCCACTCGACTCGCCAGCACTAATATTTTTAAATAAAAATCCGCAAGAAGGTATAAGAATGACAAATAATGAAATTAATGAAAGAGATGATATACGAATAAAACAATAAAAAAAGAACAAAAGTGGGCTAAGAGTCATACGGATGTTAATGCACAAGTATATTCAAATGCATTTATTAACATAAGTTAATAAGACGCAGAATATATAATACATTTTGACTTGTTTGAATACCTACTTGAACGATTTTTAGCATAAAATAATAAAGATAAAAATACCGTGATATAGTATAAGAAATCTCAGTCTAACATCTGACTATAATTCTTATAACATATCGCGTGTATTTTCAACTAAATTATATGCTAAAGATAAAATATGAAACGTACACGGATAGAATGATTTTACAGATTTTACTGAAACATCTAAAATTTAGCTAGATACAGATCTGCAAATAATTTTGTTAGATCATTAATTACGTAGAAATCTCAAGCATGATAAACAATGCTGCAAAAACTTTTGACACTCTAGCAATAAACTTGAATATCCTGTATATTTATTTTGATGATCCAACAGAATTATTTAAAGATCCGAATTTAAATAAATTTTTAATATTATAGCAAAACTTTCCATGTACACTAACTTATGTATAATACTTTTGAATATACTTTACACGACGTACACTAATCTCCAGGTGTGACTCTTGTTAACCCATGTTTTGTTCCTTTTTTGTTGTTTTATTTGTTTTCTAAAGTCCATTTTATTTGTTTGTTTGAAAAATATACAAAATTTAATTATTTTATTTAATTTCTAATTATTGTCTCAATTAGTTTGTTTTAAATCACACATACGTTTGAATATTTATATCTCTACATATATTTGGCCTGCGTTTTCCAAGGTTTATCACTATAATTTCTAAATCGCTCGGTGATTCATTGCGATTACTTGGAAGCGATACGGAGGCGTAACGAGAATGTAGGTGTGCAACTAGGTTCACTCGGACGGAGTCGTGTTAAAGCATCCCCGGAGGTGTACCGACCACCGCGTTCGCACATAAAGAAAGTTGGCGAACGTTAACTCGCGAAACTGAGCGAGCGCCGAAGGTGGTTTTAACTAAATCACCGCGGACTTCCAGCGTGATCTCGTCTTAAGTGGCGCCCGTGGGACGTGTCTCCAGAAGAGAAGAACCGACATCCAGAACGGTAACTAGCGGCAGTCCGGCGGTCCAGCCGCGAGCATTAAACCCGCGTGACTCGCATAACTCTCTTACTCCTCTCTCTCCCTCCTCGCACAAAGAGATACGGCCAACAAAGTTTTATCCGAAATTGTCAGTCGTGAGAGTTTTCTCCGTCGGCATTGTTTTCTTCGTTGAAAAAAATCAGAAAGTTTCAGTGAAAGATATCGTCTTAGAGAAAATTTTTTATAATTATTAAAGAAAAACGACGGAAGGTGATTGAATATCCGTCGTTGATTAGTAAGATTTATGGAAAGAAGGTTTTTGCTAAAGTATCTAAAAATTTAGCTAAATACAGATCTGATTTTTCTTGGATCATCAAAATAATTATCTAGAACGCTTAAGGAATGTCCGTTGATGACAATGCTGCAAAAGTTTTAACATTCTAGCAATCAGTTTGAACATCCTTCATAATTATTTTGACATCTAAACAAAATTATTTTCAAATCTATATCCAGTTGACTTTCTTGAATTAAATTTTAGGTCTAACAAATTTTTAGTTAAATTTAATTTAAAAAATTTATAATTAAAGTTTTAGATACTTCAGCAAAAGCTTTTAGTTAAATTTAATTAAATTTTTGGTTAAGTTTTTAAATATTTCAGCAAAAAACTTTCCGTGTAGCAAATAATAGCCTATGTCTCGAAGGAAAAATGCGAAATGTAATTTACAGCGGAGAGACTTTTTACTATTTATTTGAACCTCTCTTTGTTTTCGAACTACAGAATTATGTTGTCCAAAAACTCGAAGTTTTCCCGCGTGATTACTCTGGTGCTCACATAATCGATCTCTTCCCGCGGATCCGGCAATAGATGTAACGAGCGTACGCATCATTAGCGAGAGAGTTCCTCAACTAATTACAAACAAGCCTGGAAAGGAGACCGCCGCGATCGCGATCTAATTTTGCGGACCGTTGATTATTCCGGCATTAAATTCGGAGTCCGGACTCAATCAGGACTGGTGAATCTAACCCACGCCACGATAAACCATGCAAAAAGTACGGAAGAAAGAGAGATCTTCCTACCGCCATCGCACTTCCACCACTTCCGCCCCTTCTTTCCTTTTTCCTCGCACTTCTCAAGATATATTCCGAGCCCCTGACGAAGTTCGCGGAGCGAAACGTTGGAATCTATTAAAGTCTCTGGCTCGCCCCGCGAATCCCGACTCCTTATTTTCGATTGCTCAGCCTCCCTCCCATCCTCCCACCCCCATCGCCTCTACTCCCAATCTCCCTCACTTTCAGCCGGTCTGGGTTCTCTCGCTGAAAGTCAATCTCTTAAAAAGTTCTTCTTCGGGGCTCGTCCTCCGGAGTCAAACATAAATCAGATTACGCCGTCTTCGCGGATTCCTTCCTCTCTTTCACTCCAACTCTCTGTTTTCCTTCTTCTCTCCCCACTGATTCTTCACTATCTTCCCCTCGACTTCGCTCTAGCAGTTTCATCGAGTGTACGTTGACTTCACTGGGTGGTCACGGGGTTCTCCTTACCGTTCAACGTACCCTTCTTGTCCGCTTCGTCCTCGTCAATGCACAGGATCGAAGTTGGCGACAGCAAGAGGGAAGGGGGGAGGGGAATTGGACGACAGGATGATGTGGACGCCGGCACTTTGGATCCTGGTAAATAATGCATGCCGTAATTTCTTGTGACGGCTGGTTCTTTCGGCTTTCTGTGGAAAGGAAGAACCATACTGTAGCCTATCCCTCCGGAGAATTCTGTAGACCGGCGGCGGATGACGTAGTTGCCAGATATCCTGCAAGTATACGATACGCTTGATGCAAGCGCGAGTTACGATGATCGCGTTACTATCGAAAAGCGAGGATATCGAGGTCGCGTACCGGGATAACTGAAAGGAAAATGGGTAGATCACGGATGCGACCGACGTTTACTTTTTCATGTGAAAATGTTCGTACATCGTCAAAGGAACATCCTGAAATAAATTGCTACAGAAAAAAAAGTAATAAATCAATACGATATAGGGGTTAGTATAATCTATTGTATCGTGAAATCTTGAGTTTCCATGTTCAATAAATTGCATAATCCAGCTTTTGTAATATTAAACGTATCTTTTAATATTAAAAGTTCCGTTTCAATTGATGAGAAAATTAAAATATAACATTCGTTTCGCGAAAAAAAATTTAGATTTACAAAAAGGTTGCGAATTGTTAGAAAATATTAATTCACTGTTACACGTTCTATTAAAGAAAAAAACGGAAAATCCAATTAAATTTTTTAGTAATAATCAATCGATTCCTTTACGTTCTCAACTGGCAGCGTGTATAGCTTTGCTAAAGCAACGTTTCATTAGGCGTTTACATTTAAAAAATATCCATCGAAGCAGAAAGAGATTCGCCAATCGTAAAACGTCATATCAAATTTCCACGTCATAAATCATATTTCTCACCCCTCTCGTTGCCGGTCGGAATCCTCGTCTCTTAAATGGACCGAAGCCGCTCCGGAAGAAGAGAAAGAGACGGGAATGTTTGCAGCAGTGACAGCGCTCGAGAACGAGAAAAGCTCGTTGTCACAACGGAAGTAAATAAACGAATCGATTATACGGAGACAAATAAACGGATTGTTGGATGCGCGGGAGAGCGGATTCGGAAAGAGGAGAGTTCAGAGTCCAAAAGGAGAGAGAAAGAGAGAGAAGGGTGGATTGGCGGGCAATTGTTGAGAAAAAAATAGCGGAAGTCCTCGACGAACAATAACAGGAAACAACGTGGCAATTGGAAAGTAATTAAAACCCCATTAAGGCCGTTGCGACTCCTGTTAACAATTTCGCGTTACGCCACGCCGATAGAATTAGCTTTTCGATTTTCATTATTTAGAGGAACGCCGCCATCTCGCCGCCATCGTCGCGCTCATCTTTGGGCGTCCGGGTGTTGGAGTGACGTAAATCCTTTTCACGTAAATAGATATAATAATAGAAACGAAATGAGATAATTTTATAGAAACTCACTGTGGATTTCTATAAATACCCTGTGGAGATTGACGTTGCTATGAAGCTATCGCGGTTATATAACTTGATTTCAATCTGAAGCGTTAGAATCTAATTTAAAGATAAAGTTAATTGAAAACACAGAATCAAAACAGGGCACTTGATTATAAAGATGTAAATGATATCCTATACTATAATACCTTAAGGTTAACTGAAATAGAATACCCCTTTATCAATTCTTCATCGAACTCGATTTCCATAAAATTTTGTGTAACGTTATTTCTATTTCCTAAAAGATAAGCGAAAATATGCCAGATTAAAGCTAAAAAATAAGGGACTGCATTTATTCGTACTCATCTCGGTATAAAGAATGGTATTTTTAAAACAAATCATTTTATGGAAATGAAAGAGGAAAAGAAAGAGACGTAGAGATACGGAGCACTATGAGTAGCGAGATTAGGAAGCAGCTCCTGAAACGGTTCTCAAGTCTCTCTCAAAACTTTCGGATATAGCTTTCAGAATCGCAACTTAAATCATTATGGAAAACTCAACGGGTGCCTCCCACAACGTTTCCTTCCATTGAGATTTTTCGTAAGCACGAACATAAACTTAGATTGGTCTATGAGTATTATTCGAGCTCGAGCAAAAATTAATATGAACTGAAATTTCGTTCATTTTTTACCCTCTTCTGGTTTATATTTTTTTATATAATCTTTTTTATATCAAATAAAATATGTATGCTTTAATGCTGTACTGTATGTTTTATCAACAGAAGCAAAATGAAGAAATGATTATTTTTGCAAATTTCTCTCTTTCAAAAAAAGACTGGAGTTTTGTTTCGAAATTAATTAACAGATATCCAAGCAGTGGTAAAAATTTTCTCTCTATTACAATTTTACAATCATATATATTCACAGACGTCGCCATCGTTATAACTTTTAATGAGGAAAATTAAATATTTCTTTCCTATTTACGTAATAGAATTTCATTCACCCACACACACATACACGCACACGCACACACAGTTTGCAGCGACAAAACGCGAACTTTATTTGGTAAATGATATGCCATATATTTTGCTGATCGAAATCAATTTTTACAAACACATAACTGATTAGATATAATTATAATCCGTTTTTTTTTTACTGATATGTTCTTTTATCGAATTATTTATATCTTTTATATAATCTCTTCAAATTTTTAAAAATTTATTTTTTCTCTTCAAGCGATAGTACATATAGATGACAAATAAAATATTATAATAATGTACATCTAAATATGTCTAATAATAATTTTTTTTTTTATTAATTCTCATTAATCGTTATTGTAAAAAATCGTATTTGATTAAAAAAGAACCTTGTAATAAGTATTTTTGGTTATAAGCCTTGAGATAAATAAAACCTTTTGATGAAAAATATGAAAAGGGAAAATGATGAGAAAATGAGAATTCACGAACATTTTCAGACGATACTATGGTTAATACGGACTTCCCCGTTAAGAGATACACAGCTGTACAGTACACTCAACCAGCGGCCGCCATTTCTCCATTGTCCAAATCCACGCGGCATCTTTTGGTACCAGAGCCGGACCCACGATATTATTACACCCATCGAGCTCATCAAGAAACCATCACCATCGACAGAGATAATTTAAAACATGGTAAAAAGAAAAGAAACGTCCCCTTTTCAAAACTCTTCATGAGACTTTTAATCATGTATTTTTTTTCCAGAAAAAATGAAATAAGCAAAAAAATTTTAATTTGTCTTCAAGAAAACGTTGTTGATTTCCTGAGCCTATAATTCTTATCGAAAATTTTAAAACATTTTAAAATATAAAACCGATTACTAAATCATTGTATTGAAATTGACTAGATAAAATAATGTAATGTACTACTTTATTAACCATATTAATTTATCGTTAATTGTGGATTAACACGATTAAAACGTTAATGCTTGAAAATTGCTTGCAATGTTTGAAACGTGGCACGTTTGATAATACTTGACAATGCAAAAATTTATTTAATGCAAAAATATATTTAATTCTACAACTATATTAAATAATTCAAAATTCATTGCGCATTTAATCGCAGAGTTCGATGAATTGGTTCAATGAACTAGTATTAATTCAATAGACTGATATAAAGTTTGTCGAAAGATAAAATTATCAAAGTTGTTTATCTTTCCCAGATAGTCTTCGGAATTAATTCGCAAAAGTCCTGGATGATTAAAAAATTTGTTTTTTCGTAATAAAAACTTGAATTATTGTTAATTTTTTCAGTATTTCAGTGAAGGGAGTGATGAAAAATTTTACTTTTACAGGAGTGGCCGCAGTGTATCGACCGACACCAGCAACGATTCGAGTAGTCACCGCTCTATTGGGTGATCTCTGCAACGACGACAAGGATTGCACTATACCGAACAGCGAATGCTCAAAGGGCGGCTGTATCTGTTCCGAGGGCTACGCGGAAACTAGCGATCGGCAAGAGTGCTTCGGTAATGTCTATTTCTATAAAAGAATGGATTAACTTTAATTTTTCTTTAATTTGTTTTTTGTCCTTTTTTTAATTTTTAAAACTAGAAAAAGTAAATTTAACCATAATTAAAGTTAATCTACATTTTGGTAAAAATGGACCTACAGAAAGTCTCGATTAATCATTTAGATTTAATCATTACTTTTCATGATTTTTAAATTTTTCACGTAAAACACTGCACTAATTAAATCTCGTATTAGTGATTTTGTATTATTTATTAACGCGTTCGTTGAAGATTATTCAGATAAATATTAATTACTAATAATGGACATGGTTAAAATTGAGATTTAATTAAAAAATTTCACACAGTCCTGATTCTTCATTCGTCCAGCTTTTTTGATATTCAATCGCTTACAAGCTCGGCTTCCAGCCGATAAATTATCAATGTCATCGTAATCAGATGAAGATTAATTTTCGCCTGATTGCTATTCATTTGTTTAGCTAATTACGTTCCGGTGACACCGACCCAGGAATTTCGCGCGTGTCTTTCTTATCCCTGTCACATGACTTCGACCTGCATCGATTTGCCCAGCGCAACTTTCGTTTGTATATGTCGACCAAATTACACCGGGCTGCTTTGTGACGAGGAGATCAACAAGCGGGATTATGAGATACCTTCCTTTGATGGCAAAAGCTACGTAAGGATGAACCGGCTGAAAGCGTATCACAAATTCAGCATCGAGGTCGAGTTCAAAACGTACGCGGACAACGGAATCATACTGTATAATCAACAGAAAAATGATGGCTCCGGCGACTTTGTCTCATTGGCCATTGTCGATGGGTTGGTATCCCTTATTACGATTATCTAAAAAAATATTTTCTGAGGAAAATATATACAATAATCCAATTCTTTTACCTCGTAACTTTAATTTCGAAACACCTATTAAGATAACTGTTAATTTAATTTCAAGATGAAGATAATTATAACATGCTTCAAATATCAAAATAATCATGTTAGCTGTATAGAACTGATTGACGTAACCGTTTAACAGTGACAAAAAATACAAAAACACAAAAAACGCATATAAACTTTCCGTTGAAATTAATGACTGGTATATCTAATTTGTGGAGCTCATGAATGATTGTGTGCTTCAGATACGTGCAGTTTAGATATAACTTGGGCAACGGACCCGTGGTACTCACGTCACCGGAAAGAGTATGAAGACTTTCCACAGAGTGGCGGCCAAAAGATATCACAAAGACGGAGTATTAATTTTCAATGACGGCGAAGACGTGGCCGGACAAAGTCAGGGAATGCTGAAGTCTTTGGACTTGAATCAGGATACTTTCATCGGAAACATGCCGACTAATTATACCAAGTAATATTCTAAAATTTTATACTATTAAATAAAAGAAAAAGCTTTCTCATATGTAAAATAATCATTTTTCAAATTTGTACTATAGTTTATATATTATTAATCTTGAATCTTAAAAATGTTTTAATATTTATAAATTGTCGAAGTTATAAGCGTTTAATCTCAGAATTCAATAAGCCAAGCAAAGAGTATTTGATGTTATTAAGAAGATCAAAATCGAAAGAGAAAACGTAATTTGAAATAAATATTTTAATTCAGATTAAAAGTTATTAAATCGTTAAAACTTATTTATTATAAAAAAATCTCTCTCTCTCTCTCTCTCAAAATCAATTTTTCTAAACTCATATTCACCATTTCATGTCTCAAGAATTATTTAATTCAATTCTGCCGAAGTATAAACTAACTATCTCTTTAGATCAAGAAACTTTTCTTAACTATTAAAACAGTCTCTCCTACAGATTTAGATATCAAATAATAATCAAATAGAATATTTAAACACAAGATAAATTTCTAAACAGGGTCTATGACAACATCGGCACCAACCATGGACTCCTCGGCTGCATACGCAAGCTGAAAATCAATCGGAACAACATAGATCTGCACGTGGGTCACGATAGGGACGTTCTCGAGAGTTATCGCGTAAAGGAATGCGGCGACAATGCGTGCGCTAATCTGCCTTGTCAAAACGGCGCGACATGCCAACCGATCTTCGAAGAAGACCTATGTAACGGCCGGGATTGCAGGAGATTACAGAAGAGAGGTAAAAACAAGAACAACAGAGGTGGCAACGGCAAAAACGGCGGGGTGAACATAGTCAGATGCAAGGGTTCTCACTGCACGTCGATTGATCAGAGAAGGACCAAGAAGAATGCGAGAAGAGGCGAATACATTTCCGAGCTGCAGTACGACAAAAATTACGACCACGGCAATTATGCGGTGGAAAAGTACGATCCACCGGACTACAAGTGTATATGTCCACCGCAGTTCACCGGCAGAAACTGCGAGGAATCGCTGGACCCGTGCGTCGGCGAACCCTGCCAAAACGGTGCCACTTGCGACATCCTGCCGCAAGGAGGATATGTGTGCAAGTGTCCGCCTGGTAGAACTGGCGAGCACTGCGAGATCCGTAAGTATAACAGCATCTGATTTCTAGGAGAAAAAACTTTTCCTTGATCTTATTTCTTCTTTTTATTACAAATAAATATTGAGCTTCCAATATAGTTTCAAAAACGAAAATGTTAAAACAAATAAGTAAAGAGCGTCAAATACGGTCAAGGCTGGTTAAGCTTGGTGCCTAATAATGTTTTATATGTAAATTTTGTTTATAACTAGAAAGTAGATTTAAAAAATATATATAGGAACATTATTAGACACCAAAATCTAGCCTCGACAGTATTTGGCGTTTCTTTATTCCGTTGATTTATTCGTAATGATTTAATTTAACTTATTATTATTAGAAAGTGTTAATGTCTTGTGTTTTATTATTTGTTGAATTATTTTAAATTTTATTTAATTTTTCAGTAGACGCCGAATTGACGGAATTGTTGATTCCCGAGATGAACGGGAATGGATATTTGGAGTTGCCCTCTTTGGAAGGCGTCGCGAAAGCGTTCTCCATTGAGTTATGGTTTCTCACGCGCGCAAATGACGGCCTACTACTGTACAACGGTCAGCTGAATAATGGCAGGGGCGACTTTATCAGTCTGAATTTGGTTCACAGCCGATTGGAGTTCAGATTCAATCTCGGTAGTGGTATCGCGAACATTACTTCACCGGATCCGGTTAGTCGGGATATGTGGCACTGCGTGAGGATTAACAGACTCGGCAGAGAGGGTGTTCTTCAGCTTGACGACGGAACCGTCGCCAGGGGATTGTCTGGAAGTCCTCTTACGGAATTGAATCTAGAAATGCCGCTTTATGTTGGTGGCGTCAAGTGAGTTATTTTCATTAAATTATATATTTACTTTTTATTGTCTCGAAATTTCTGCTCATGGCTCTAAATTAGCGCGTATCTTTGAGATCATATTATTATACTTACCCAAACAACACAGACCTTCAAGAGATGTCTTAGAAACGTCTAGAAAACATCTAGGATGTCCCTCGAACAAAGTGTGTTGTGTGGGATTATTATAATAAAAACAACATCCATTATATATACATTCTAACGTTCAATTATTGTGTTATAAAAAATAAATTCACATCACTGATATACTGCCTGAATAACGAACGATATATATATATATATATAATATATATATGATCACAATTGTTTGTTTCCATAGACATTGGCGAGAAGTTCACCGCCTGTCCGGAGCCTGGACCGGATTAGTAGGTGCCGTACAGAGACTAATGGTAAATGGCAAAACATATCAGAACCTCGCCGTGAATGTTACTCAACACAACACGGAGATTTACGACGGTCTACCGTGTCCCGGCAACGAGAACCCTTGCCACAACGGCGGAGTCTGCCTTCCCTTATTGAATAGTTATCTCTGTAAATGCGCTAGCGGTTACAACGGCTTGCATTGCGAATTCTGTAAGCGTTTTCTTCGCAATTTCATTATTTCTCAATAGATTTTTTTTATTTCTCTATATATATATTTTTTTTGTTCCATTATTTCCTTTCACGCTTAAAAAGACTTTAAATCCATTTATAATTGTTTAAATTTATTTAAATCCCTCTATAATATTAATAATCATAGAAATTATATATTCCATATATATAGCGTAAAACAGATTTTTTAATAATTTTATATATTTAAATATTACATGTTTGTTATCTTTGGAAAATTAAAATATATTTTACCTTTTGATCAATTATATCGTTACAATTACAATATTTTAAAATTATTATTATACCGTTGTAATTATTTTAAATTTAGTTTTAAAAAAAAAATTTTAAACATAAATATTTCTTTTAGTTATGGGCTACGATGTGTCCGGCACCGAGATATCGGAGCGACCTGTACGCTTCGAGGGTGATAACTTCCTACAATTTAAACATCGCTACGGAAGAAGGTGAGTAACACTCAGCTAGAATTCCGAAGAAATGACGATTGAAACATTAGACCGTCACATCCTCTAGGATATTTGATTAGGTGCACTTAAAATTAGTAACTTCGGTCGCTCAACGACTAAGCTAATTAGCGTTCCCAACTATAACTACTGTCACTAACCTTCTGATTATGTAACCACCAACTAGTACTAACTCGACTAACACTACCCTCGGCGAGTACTTTGAGGAGTCCTACTCCGACTACGACTTGGAGGAGGACGACGACTACGAGTACGACAATTACGATTACACGGAGTAAGTTTTCTAGAAAATGGAAAATGGCTGTGATGTACTCGTTTGAGGGATACATTGATTTTCCTGCTCGCGCATGGTAGTGTCGTATAACAAACTCCAATAATCACATCCCTGGCAATCACTCCGGCGGAGCCAATTATTTGATTACGTAATAGGGAATGTAATTGACGTAGAATCGACGTAACATCGTAATTATGGATACAATTAGATGGGCTTCTCACACAATAATTCTTGTCAATGACACAGTTGTCGCATATTACACAATATATATATAAAGTATTATTTTAATAATATCGCAATTTTATTCCTTTTGTATTTGATACACAAAATTTAAAATAAAAAGAATCAACAAGTGCGGATTCAACAATTTTTGAAAGAACTTTCTTTTTATAATTTTTTAATATTTATTAATTTTTTAACTTCCCATCTAAGCGTATACCTTAGTGTAAAAAAGTACGTAGCTTCGTAGTGTAAATTATTAGCATGTGTTTAGCTTCAAAATTGAAATAAAATTTTCTTTTTAATAAATATCTGTTATTACGAACACGTTCGTTTAGACGCAGAGGACAGCAATCGAACAAATTTGAGCTGCGGCTAAGGACGGTACATCCTGACGGTCTTATCGCGTGGGTGGGAAGAGGAAAATTGGAGCATCTCTTTTTGTCTCTGCATGATGGTCACGTGGTGCTTACTTATAAGAGTAAGATTGATGAAGAAATATCCGTAAAGAGTAAGGTAAGCGCTGTTATATTGATTTAATAGATATCACTCTCCTTTTTATTTTTACTCTCTGCAATTTTATTAATCTTTCCTCCTCTTTTTACTTTTATATTCCTTTTGTTGTTATACAACAAAAAGAAAATATGTGAGTTGAAAATATATCAATATATTGTCATACAAATAGTTCTAATGATACAAGTAATATTACACTTAATCTTCCGAAAACAAGAATAGGAAATGATCAAATTGGCATCTCCGACAATTCTACTAATCGATATGATTATCTCCCCAAAATTTCCATGATTCTCACTATTATTATTAATATTGTATTAATTGCAGGAGAGAGTGGACGACGGAGTCTTCCATCACATCCGAGCGTCCAGACGACGAAAAGCGTGTACGATTCAGATCGACGAGAATATGCCTGTCAAAGTCTCGATGGAAACAACGTTACTGACAACCAACGGCAAGGTTTTCGTCGGCGGCAAGCCCGGCCATCGCGGTATCAAGGGCTGTGTAACGGACTTCATCGTCGACAAACGGCGGCTACAACTCGCTAGACGAAAGATCGACTTCTGCCACGACAACGACGTATGATAACGAACCCCGAGTCCGACGATCGTCAATGCGACGTCGATATCAGAGAATCTCGTCAACCCGATGACATCGCCATCGTCGACGAGTTGATCGCGCGATGTGAATGCGAGCGTAAATCGCACGCGGCGGACCAAGATCGACGATCGCCTAAATATCAACAACGACAAATACGATAACGTATCCTGACGATCGTCAACGCCATCCCACGCCGTTGGAGACTCGGCGGGCGTCTCTGGTGTTCCCAGAACTAATAGACTACGAAGTGCAACGAAGATTCGCCGTCGAGACAAAGTGTGAAACAATCATGTCCAATCCGATCGAGCGGCGTGTTGATTCCTGCCAAAGTTGTGCGAAGAAGTGGTCCTCGTTCATGCGTATCGCACCAGGTCCTTGACACAACGTGCGTCTCTCAGGGAAAAGCAAAGCCGCATTCCGGTACAACATTCCCGAAAGAAAATGAAGTTCTCATAAAAATACAGATAGAATCTGAAAAATCGTTCGGAGAATAAAAATTTGATCTCTTATTGTAAGATGTCTCAACAGGACCAGAGTTTCGTAGGACCAGAACTGTCTAAAGCTTCCATTCTCAAAAATCATTCATAATATTTTTGGAAAAACATGGATTTAAATCTGATCATAGAACCTTCGATCTTAAACAACAACCATATCTATTTGAAATAATGAAGATAATAAATCCAGGATTATAATCGAAAATGACATTGTTCGTTTAAAGCTTAAACTTCTAAACGAAGCCGGAGCCAGAACGAGAACCAAAACACTTCCACTATAGAATGCAGGGTCGTCTACTTAAGGAGTACGGTTACTCTGTGCTAAAGTCAGAGAACCGTGACTCTATTGTTATATCGCGTGAAAGGTGCGGACACTACTAGGGATTTATCGGCGTATTATAGAAACTTCGCGAGTACTGCTTTCTCATAGGGCCATCCAATAAATAATTAATAAGGGATAAAGAGAGAAGTACTCAGTCGTAGCAGCGTTCGATCATTCACTATTCACAAGCCGACCATATCAAGGTAGAAAAGAGCTGCGAGGGTCGTGATTATTTCACGTTTATATTGTTCAGATACCAGAGTCCGTCATCGAGATCATCATCGCGTGGACGGATGAAGAGGAAGAGGAAGAGAAGCAAAAGCGAACGGCGAATTAAGTGCTACGTTTTCATCGAAAGACAATAATATATTTTTAAGGTGACGAGATTAATATTGATACATATGTATGTATGAATCTATCTGTATACGCATGTGGAGAACGCGCCAGCGGCGCGGATTTAGCGAAAGAGAAAGAAAGAGAGGCCCACTCAAAGCGGACCTCGTTGTAGAATCTTACTTATAAGTTGTACTGAAGCACCTAAACGTTTTACGATGCCAAGACTGACTAAAGCGCATGCAGGCGAAAAGCGACAACGGTGACACGAAAAAGCGAGGGGAGAGAAAGAAAGAAAAAAAAAGAAACGATAAATCGGTGTTATGTTTGAGTGTTCGGTAGAGAGATTTAAATGGATTTCCCGGAGAATAGAGGAAATATGTATTTTAAAGGACTTGTTGATTTATCGCCAGTATAGTAGACAAACTCACGCGACACGACACGTTGTTTTTAAGTAGGGGAGGCTTTTTACAAATGCGCAAGAGAATAAATATATTATATATAAATATATATATTATACGTACACACTTATATACAAAGGATTCTACATTCCATTCGATGGACGAAAATCGGGGTCAAGTTTTACGTTATTGACGATGGCTGACGTGAGTATAGTTCGTGACCGTTCAGAGATCTCGTGAATTAGATTCAAAAATATTATTTTACGATCTCAATAAACCGTTTCTTACTTTATAGAAAGAAAACAGTTATTAAATGTTATTAAATCTGTAAAAGTTAGACACTTATTTATTTCTTTAACAGCTTCAATTTTCAACGTCTAGCATTTATATAAATATTAGAACAGCATATTATTTACATTATTTAAGTAATTATTACATCGTCAAAAATATTCGACTTAAATTATTAAATTATTACGACTCGATCAGTTGAACTAATACATAAAGTATTAGTTCCAATTAAGCTTAATTTCAAAATCACCATTTTAATGTTAAAGAAATATGAAATGCTATTTTAAGCGAATTTGCTTGGATTATCACGCTAATTACTAATCGAATTTGAATGCGAATGGACTTCTCACGAAAATCATGCCTGTGTACTTTAAGCAAAACACAAGTCCCCAGTAAACATCAACTAAAAGTAATATAACATCAATGTTATAATTTCACACTCAACAATATAACTGTTACGTAACACATATGTTTATATTACATTTATATGATTGAGTGTGAAATTATTGTAACTTTGATGTTATGTTACTTTTAGTTTATATTTACTTGATCATCGTGACATCAAAATGATGTCAAAATGGCTCGAAAATGATATTACTAAAAGTTACTTTCCAATCAGTTACGATTCATTTTAACATAATTTTGACGTCATCGTAATTTGTTGTTTTGCTGAAACGTCCGCGTTACGACAGAATGCAACAGCAAGATTTTCCACATAGCTACAACAATCTGCAATCGACACAGCCGATCCCGATAAATTAATTCGCATCCAGAAATGCAACGACGAGACGTGTGCACGAGCGGCGAAAGAGAACGCAACGCGCGGAAAAGTTTTGCGGGTGACCTGTAAATAAATCCACACGCGCTGCTAAATAACGAATTTAATTATTCGTTTTAGAGTGTACCATACTGTAACCGGTCCTAAAGATCATCGTAACGACCTAATTATCGTAACCAATTCACGGATTAGCCTTCGAACGATGCTCGCGATGTGCATCATTTATTTTTCGCGTGACTCAAGAGAGCGCATTATATGCACGCATATACATAAATAAATATATATATATACATATACAATATATGGACAACCACACGCACGCATATCGAGCTAATGATGTGAACGTGTTCTTCCCTTCGAACAGAATAGCTAAACGCCTAAGTTAATCGACGTGAATTTATTCTTACCTTGTACGCAACCGTTGTTGATAATTTAAAAACCGTCAAACGTTTCCATCTTTATCTCTTTCCGCAAACACTAATAATGAAACACTAATGAGCTAAAACCCGTTATGTAAACGCTAAACACCCACACTCCACACTTTATTCGAGGGATGTTGTGGGAATGTCTTTTGAATGTTTTTAGAACATCCCTTAAAGATTTATGCTGTACGGAAAAATCATTAAAAATATTGTAACTATAAAGTTCTTTGAAGAACTACTTGAAAAGATATTAATTTTGTTTCGTTCTTTGAAAAATTCATAAAAAAGTTGGTAGAGATATGGAGTGTTCCAGCAGAATCATCAATCTTCGATCTCGCGATTCTTATAGAAATGCCACGTGAATAGATAAAGTGATGGAACAAAACAGGCTGGAAACGTTCGACGGATGTTTACGTGATTACCACCGGCGGTGCGCGAGCGGCGGAAACGCTTCCTTCCGGTCACGTAAACGTTGTGAAATAAGATCATAGCAGCGACGCGAAGGGCCTCTCGAGAAATCCCGTGGTATATATAATATACGATACACCGGCACATTCAACGACGCGCGTTTCTACGATGCCCCTGATAACGCGTGACGTTGAGAGACACCGTCAAATTTCACTGTTTTCCTACCAAGAGACCATAATCCATTTTAGTTGCTGCGAACGTCATGACGTTATTCGCTTGCCAACGTTGTGCTAAATCCCGCAAAAAAATAAGTCGATTAGTACAAAGTGCTCTCGTGTAAGAAAATACGAATTTGTTTCAATATCGAATGTTTATTGAAAAGAATGACGTATTGATCGCGCAAACTTGAGAACGCAGTAGAAAATGCAACGTGTAGTCAGACATAAAGTATATCTTACACAAAAAAGATAGTTTTACTGAAGTATCTAAAAGTTTAACTAGATTTGAAAATAATTTTGTTGGATCATCAAAATAATTATGTAAGATGCTTAAACTGATTGCTAGAATGACGAACTTTTTGCATTACTCAGCATACTTGAAATTCCTGTGTAATTATTTTAATAATTCAATAAAATTGTTTTCAGATCTGTATCTAGATAAATTTTTAGATATCTCAGTTAAAAATCATTCTTTTAGTGTATGAACTTAAACTGTAAAAAAAAAGTGCAAAAATAATATATGGTTCGAAAAAAGAGGAACAAAAGAAATTTTTGTTGCCAAAAAATGCTAAATAACGAAGTTGTCGGGACGGACCGCACTGTTGGCAATCGAACTTAATGTAAATCGATCTAAAAAACTGAAGAAATGCTGTAAGTGATCGTAATATAATTCGCGAATGTTGGCGAATGCTGCAAGTTACACAGAAGGAAACAACGATTGCTCGCTTCTGTAAAGAGCATTAAATGAGCGATCGATAAAACTACGCAACGTCCATGATTGTAACATATCGATCGTCGTCGTAAATTGTTCGTTGTTAACATCTCCAGAGGCAATGTATAAAAGGCTTGATTCAAACTATGGGCTCAGTGACGCTTTGCAATAACTCAGTATTAACAAATAAGTGTATGTCCAATCTCAATCTCGAAAATCTTCCAATTGGGAAGACTTGATGATTTAAATATGTATATTATTATTTAGATAGAAAAAAGTACATACTTTGCGTAGATAATAATTCGACTTTTTATGTGTAATGTATATAATAAGATTAATAATATCATGTAAGACTGCGTTTTTTTTAAATATAAGATGTAATTTTTTTTAATTTCATAAGAAATTTTATTGTATAATTAAATATATTAAACTTATGTTTCCCGAATTACAGACAGACATAATAATAAATTTCAGAATTTACGCGTAAAAACATAAATTTTTGTATGTGTTGCGTAATTAACATCATAAAATAAATAATTAATGCGTTACTTGATTTAAAAATATCATAGAATTAATTATAATTGAGTATAAATGATGTAATAATATGAAAGAAGTACATATGTAATAATATATAGGAATGTATAAGTTAGTGTAAAATTATTTTCTTATGAGTATGTTAAACAAAAGTAGCCTCACTTTCCGAAAAGAATTTTCAATGTCTCAATTCAATTAAATCCGTCCCTGATAGTGTGAATCAAGCCCTCATTAATTTCAGTCCGTATTGACATCCGACATTTATCGCTAAACGTGTATATCTGATGAAAGGCTGATGAAAAGCCACTTGCATAATAATATAATAGCCAAATGAACAAATAAAACAGCCGTATTCGGCGCTAAATGTGGAGGCTCAATGTGCGGCCCGGAAAATACGCTTACATGAAAAAGCGGCGAACATCGTCGGGATTCTTCGACCCATATTTGAATATTCTTTGTACGTATATGTTGTAGTATTTCATGAAAAACCTAATTACTTCGTGAAGAGCCACGAATTGACGTGAAATGCAAGAGATACATTAAAAGAATTCCTAAGAACCATCGCAAAACAGAAAATTATATGATAAGAATTTTATGCAATATTTATACTTGTATTTCGGCTTTCTACGATGTAATTAAAATTGTGAAATACGACTGCTCTTACGGCATATCGATCAATCGCGATCGCTGTCCAATTGAACCATATCCGCGAGCAACGCGAATATCAATCGCGCGCAATCTTCGTACACATATCCCTCCCTTTTCGACACGCGAACTTTTGTCTTTTGGAAGATTTTTTACCCTCTCCGTTTATCTTATCGTCGACATATCGAACCACTGACGTGCCCCGCAAATGAGAATTAAAGAGACTCACCAGAGAAAAGCAATTGTTAAACATCTTTATCCTATCGCAATTTTTGCTCATATTTATAATTGGAGATGAAAAAGAGAAGAAAACGAAAGAAGGCTATATGTACGCTTCTCGAGACTCGATGCACACTTATTATGAAAATTATACATCTAGATATTTTTATGCTTTTCTTTCTGTTGAATCCATTTGCTTTTCCAAGCGATACACTGTTAGATATTAAAAAAGCAATGGTAACCCAATCCCTGAGTTAAAAAAAATAACATTTTGTTATTTTTAACTTCCATTTGTATCAAAATTTAAATCAATCCATTTCTATGGTTAATTTCAAATTAAACAATGTCCACATTAACGTATATACATTTAGTAAATAGTAAACAAAATGTGAGTCAAATTGAATACATTTTCTTGAGTTAAATTGTTTAACCTTATTTTAATTAAATTAACGATATATTTAAAAAAATGGCGACCTATAGAAATGATTAAAAAATAACTCAAATTGGGTATAATTTAACATTATGAATTTAATAATGTAAATTACAAAGAAGCGTTGCAACAATTATTTATAAAATTCATGGGCGTATCCAGGATTTCAGTTAGAGGGAGAGGGGACAAATTCGTCTTCGCACAAAACTTATTAAAATACTTATATTAAAAACTTATTAATATACTTATATTAAAATCAGCTTTCAACGAATTTTCTTACGAATAACACGTGAGCCACAAACTGCGCAATAGCGCAATTTTTGTCATAAAAATAATTTTCATAGTTTAATTGTTTCTTTTTGCTAAATTCGGAGAAAGACAAGTATCCTCCTACCTCCCTTTGCGTACGCCTATATGCTTAAATTTATTTAATAAACAAAATTGCCGCTTCAACCGAGTCAGAGAAAAACGCAGATGTGTGGAAAGAAAGGAAATATGTTGGCTTCCGTTGCAATATACGACTAACGCTACTGCCAATATAGAGATAGAAACCCTATCGATGTTTTTCTCGGAAAGATGTGTACATTTTGATGATCGAAGTATTCGCGTATCATCGAGTGCTGTATCGAACTAGCTGCCTTTGAAAATGCGAGAGATTCGGCCTCCTATCCTCACCACTCGTTTAGCGATGACAATTTGCCAGTACATTGAAATGTAAATGTTTTCAATTTAGCTTTATCAAGTTCAATAATTCGTAACGAAATTCAATCAGCTGCACGTAACGCTGAATACGCGGTGAAGATAGGAGGCTCTCGTTTGTCCTGCAACACATTGAAGAAGCTTATCGAAGCTTCCGGTTGGACGGACATAAAATATCCCATTCAACGTCGTCGCCCATCTTTTTCGCGCGAGAGATATACGCGGCAGAACGCCCCTCTTATTAATTAATTTTTCTTTTTTACTTTGATATCGTCTGTACTGAGATCACCTGGCGTTCGCTGACCTAAAGTAATCGAGCTACACTGTGTAACAAAGTGCGCGTTGTAAAGTGACTGTATATACAAATATAAATTATGCGATTATCTTTCTTGCATACTTTTTTCTTTCCTCTCTTTTTAAAATCTGCTATTATTTAAAATCACTCGAAAAATTCCTCGAAACAATAAGAAAATGTAAATCAGGACTATATTATAATCTTATTTATATATCTTTCCAGGTAGCAAGTTGACGTTATTTATCGTCATTTTTACATCAAAATGACGTCTTTAATATTAAAATAATGATGACAAATAACGTCAGCTTGCTACCTGATGTTACATTCCGATAAAAATGTATTTACAGGATATATGGACTGTTGTAAAACTATGCTTACTCAGAGAAAACATAGTGCGGCAAAAACTACAATATATTTTATATATGTAGAATTAATACACATAATTGAATGAACTATGTTCTAAAATAGTTTATTTAACTACATACATTAATTCTACATATGAAACTTGAATAGTCACTTATATAGTTGCCATCACTATGTCGTTTTCTCTTAATGCAATAGCTTTGAAAGACATAGAATATATATATATGAGATACCAATTATTTATTTTTTGCGCCAGATATTTACATAATTAACAGTATCAGTAAAATATTTCTATAAAAATTGTATTATAATCGCTAATCGTTCTACTGTCACATTAAAATATCTCACATGCGCCACTCGCGAAAATATTTACACCGATCCGCATTCATTCATTCTCAATATACAAAATCGACGGATTGAATATAAATTATTACATATTATACTGGTCATCCGTGTTACTTTCTGTGAAATATAAATGAATAAATACAGGTCAAACTGGATCCTTTGATTGCGACAGTCACGAATGTCATTTGATGATAACATTAATAGAAACAGTGATAATTTAACTATCCAGTGCAATGTTTCGGATTTCCTCAAGTCGTTGATTATATTCTTTACGAATATCTTCGATGGGTTTGATTAAAAATATCGGTACATCATCGTCTCTTCTCTAGGAAAATTAAATTTATGTTATGTAATACAGAGTAATGAGTAATACAATATTAAAAACACAATAAATTAATTGTCAATTTTTGTCAAATTTAATCTTTGCAAAACCATTCATAACTAAATGATTTTTCTCAATTTAATGAGAAAACATTTAAATGTTGGAAATATTATTAATCCATTTACCTGAAAGAGACATTCGCCTTCAAATTCTAAAAACTTCTGTTTCCTCGCTCTCAGCAACAATCCTACACATTTGTTGCTAATATTTGTGTAAATGTTAAAAATATCGCCGAATGTAATGGCGATTACGTCAGGTTGATCCCGACAGGGTGTGCCTTCATGACTAATAATTTCGCAAAGCTCCAGAATTTCTTTCAAGACATGAGCGTTCGCTTTGCGACCGCGTAAATCGGATAAAGAACCTGCTTCTGGTCTAATAATGATAAAAACAATTTAATAATAAAACATAGTTAATTAATTAACTATAAATTAAAGCAGTTAAATCGTTATCAATTTGTCATAAACATCATTAAAGTGTAAAATAACGACAAACTTTAAATTTCACATACCTGCCATATTCTTCTTTCGAGAATTTCGGCTTTTCGATGTCCAGACCAGAACTGAACGGATTTTTGCTCTGCTTGTCTTTATGTTTGTCAGCATATTGGTTGAACATTGCAACCTTGGCTCCCAAAGATTCCTTCAAAGGCAGGGAGACAAATTAATTATTAATTCATTATTACTCTATTAAGACAAAATATTATAAATCAAGAAATATTTTATTTCGTGGAATACAAATTGCTTGTACAAGCAAAGCATTATGCGTAAAATTTGAAAATGAAGAGATAAATTTTATATTTTGAAAATTCATAGACTAAAGATGCTTCGATGAAAATTGCACGGAGTTGAGTTATTCGGCACCTTATGAGACAGGAATTTCTGGGAGTTTGCCAAACTGAGCCTAAGGATTGACCCTGACCATAAATGACATCTCAATGGCACCTTGACAAATTTTCACAGTCGCGTGTGTAGTTACATTCACTCGCGCACTCATACGTTCATTCGTATCAGAAGATGAAGAATTTGAATTAAAACCCTTTGTATTTTAAGGAAAAATTAAATTTGAATTGACATCTTTTCAAAATTGTTTCCAGCTAATAATGAGACATAGATAAGTTCAATTAATAGATTAATGAATTTATAGAAATTTGTTATAAATATATAGGTATACTTTTGTGAAATATTAATATTACAGATACCATATTTTACTAAATTTGTTAAAATAATTATATAGAAAAATGATTCAGTAAAAATGTATTAAAGTAATGTTATTCATCTCCAACATCATCAATATCTCTCATCTTAATTTTCTATTATTTTTTTTATTTATAAAAAATTATAAATCATATATATTTTTATAATTAACTCTGTCTGAAAATTTCCCTTCAAATTATTTCAAATTATTTCAGAATGCTATTGCTAATTTGTTTCCGAAGAATGATGTAATCGAAGAAGTTGTTTCAATAATACTCACATACATCATCGAAGACATTATAGTATCGCGATTAAATCCAAAGTCACAAGAGAATAATACTCAAAGTATAATAAAGGAGACGCGTGTTTCACCCAAGTAGTAAAAACTATCTTGAACCGACACCCTATTTTCACTTCCGGTACTCCTATACCAAGTTCACTCGGCACTGCCGACGCGAATACGACGATGTCGCGATGCTGCGCGGCTCTTTTTATAAGAAACCAACGGCGTCCCAAGGGCTCCCACCCTGCCGTGGAATATTTCGGCGCAGTCTGAAATATTTGCCACGTTTTCAAGCCGATTCCCAGACTCTTGATTGGTTGCCAGACGGCCTTCTGCATACTCCGGAAATGATAATTCATCAATCGCAAACGTAGATTCATTCATGTTGTATTCTGCTTTCGGGAATCAAATCGCAAACGGAACAGTTTATTTACCGAATGAACGATTGGTACGATATTCGCGAAAAACGAATGTGTTAACATTTCCTAGAATGTCGATCTGTATCCGCTATAAATTCCACTTACTAATCATTTGTGGAAATCATAATTCTAAAATTTAGTGTTAACAAATACAGAAAAATATTTTTTTCAAACACATATACATATATTTAATTTTTATCAGGCATAAAAAATTCTATAAAATTGTATTTTTGTTTACTTAACTTGAATATTCAAATCATTTCTATGAATAAAAAAATAGTAAGTAAGAAAAATAATAATACTAATTGTATATAATAGTAGTAATAAAAATATTTAATATAAGTCTTTTTAATAGTAAAATATTTATTTTTAATTTCCAAAAAAGAGAAATTCTGAAATTAGCTTTTTTTTTATCCACTATAATGGTCTGCAAACCTAGAATTATGATACACAGAGAAATTTATAAAAGCATCGATGTCGATGTTGCAAAAGAGCAATAAATCAATTGGCAATGCAATTATTTCGGATCGCGTGCACCGCTAATTTTCTCCCGAAATTAGCGGCCTTCATGTAACGATCGCATGACCATTCAGGAAACTTGAGTATATGTCTAGAAGGCGACGAGTACAACGTGTACTCAACGCAGCACAACCCGAATTTAATCTCCTAAATTAACTTTTGACCGACGACAATTTGTCACTGACAGACGAACGATATACGAGCTGAATCGCACGAGCTCGAATGCGCGTAAATCGCGAAGGCACGAGGCAGTCCACATCGATAAAACACCTTACAAATATTCCACGTGATCTTAATTTATCTAAGGATCCGTTAGATTTGTAGATTCTCCGTCGTGCGTGATATTCACTGCTTTATCCATTACAAAGCTACTTCGTTAGCATGGCAAGTTGCATTCTATTTAGCACTTACAATTAGCAATATTCATTATAACGTAAAAGGAATATTTTTGCTAAAGTATTTAAAAATTTAGCTATAATAAAATTTAGCTGCAATTGTTTTCAGATCTGTATCTATAGATACAGATCTGAAAACAATTTGATTAGATCATTAAAATAATTATATAAAAACGCTCAAATTGGTTGCTAAAATCTCAACATTTTTTGCAGCATTATCGTCATGCTTGAATCTCCGACATTAATTATTTTAAATAATTATTTCGATGGTCCAATAAAATTATTTTCAAAACTATATCTAGCTAAATTTTTAGATACTTCAGCTAAACCTTCAAAAAATTCTTTCCGTAAATAAAACTTTTCAATTATTTTATTATATAGCATCAAATAAAAGAGAAAAAGAGAGTTTTAAAATTGTCATTGATTTATAATTCGGGAACTACAATTAAAAAAAATTAATAATGACATTATTTTAAGCAATATTACTTATATTCGAGACTCTCGCGAGAATTTAACTTAGAACTTTTTGTAAATTTTTTGTAAATATTCATTTCGCGAGAAATGCCACATCGCAAACATCACAAACTGCATCACCATGATGACCATCCATAAAAGGAGCTTCAAGAAGATGACGCTTATGACGTTGCATTTTCGTTACTTCTGAAACATACTCCGGAATTAGATCCGTTTCTGCTCTCATCAATAAACGCGCGTGCGAATACGTCAATGATATCCTTCTAGTTGTAATACAAGCTCAAGAATGTAAATATGTAAACCTTTAATGGAATTCATTCCTTAAGAAACATTTCATTAATTTAAAAAATGCTTTCTTAATGATACTTTATATTTTGGCAGAATTTTTAAGCCAATTCATTATAGAGATATTACGGGCATTAATTTAAAAATTTTCGAAAAGAGAGGTTTTGATAAAAATTAGTTTTAATTAAAAATTTCATGTTCTAATAAGCGTCTATTAATCTTAAGTTATTCTAGAATATACATCTTTCCTTAAAAAAGACATTTGTTTTTAGATTTTCGCTTTCTCTTTCGATTGTAACTTTCTTAATTACATTAAACCATCTTTGTTGCTTGATTCTCGATTCATGCGCTTATAACTTCGTCAATTTTGAAAAAAAGAACAACAATATTGAAGAGATATATTTTTAACGTCTCTACAGAGTTTAAAACAAGAAACTTTTAAATTTTAAAGTTTTAAGTAAGAAAACTTTCTTAATAATTCCTTTCCTTTCGCCTACTTTTGAATCGAGAAAGAACTGGATGGAATGAAAGAACTCGGATTTAGTACGATATCTGTGACTGAAATCTTTAGGACAAACTTAGACCCGGAGTTATAAATATACTATTTAAAATTCCAGAGGCCGTATATATAAGGTTGTCAAATATCTCCCTTCCGCTTTTTTGTCTTTTGAATTTCGCGGCTATGTACAAAGCGCTACAGAGGTCGTATCTGGCAATACTATACACCATTTCAAAGGTCTTGACATAACCTACAAAACGACGCTATGCATGATTAGTTTGGATATTGCGTTCAACAGTTATAGACGTGTAAACATGGAGTTCACTAACGCCGAAATTCGCGCTATTT